TCAAAGCAGCTAATTTACACTTTCAGCTGAGGTGACGGCAGGCAGCCATCTCAGGACCACAGAACAGGATAATGCCATACACCTGCCTTTCTCACGTCTTCAGAAGAGGAAGTGCAGATTAACAGGAACATGCTGCATCTTATTACTTACTATATTCACTGTAGAGAAACACTAAAGGGGAAACCCAGAGAGTCACAACTGAACCGTGAAACAGACTGTATTTGTCTGTAACATGTTGAGGCAGATGGCCGTTGATCCTGAGTCACAGTTCAGCTCGAGGTTTCTTTGCCTCTAAGCGTGGCTCATTTAGTATCATTAATTAGTAAAGCGTTATCAGAAACAGAATATTTATGAACAGAATCAATATCACTTTGTTCTTCATGTGCTAGTTCATCTGTCAGCAGGTGTTTGCTCATGGTGGGAAGTTTTAATAATAATTCAATTCAAATCAGCTTTATTGGCATGAATGTGTAACAACAATATTGCCAAAGCATCATACAAACTACATTTCAATAAACACGTGAACAAGTGTTAATAAAAAATAAAGATATATAAAAATTTTATAAGAATATAAAAATTCTGTAAAAATAAACAATAAAAATTAAAAGTAAATAAATAAAACAGTAAGCATGTGTGTGTGTTAAAAAAAACTTTAAATATATTAAAAATTAATATAAAATAAATAAATGAAACAGTAACGTTTGTGTGTGTTATTATAATAATATATAAAAAATTTAAATTTAAATAAATAGATAAAACCATAAGTGTGTGACGGGGCTTGTACTCAAAATTAACAAAAATGGCGTAGTCGTAAATTATGTTTTTGTGATTTATTGTGCTCATCCTTCCCAAGGTGCAAAAATAGCGCTCAGCAACAAAATAGTCAAAAATTTAGTATTTACAAAAATGTACAGTGTTTACAGTCCAAGCAAAAAACCCCCACAAAAATCTATAAACAAGCAGAGTCTCTCTCTCTGTAACAGCTCTGGCACACACACACCCTGGGCTGAAGAAGGAACCCCTTTTAACCACTGAGGCCCATCCTCCCAGATAATTAACTCAATAATTGGCCATATCTCATAAATATCATTATATTTCATTAATACAAAAATTACCATAAATGTTGTAAAATTACAAGCAACAAAAATAATAAAATTATTTTGGGCCAAAAACCGGCATCTGGACATGACGTCATTGTGACGTCGCATGGGGAAACGGAGTGAACGGGAGAAATGGGCGAGTAGCGAGTGTGTATGTGTATGTACAGTGGTTGCGCTGAGTTACCCGCGGGACCTGACGGGGCTACTCCGTCAAGGTGTGTATGTATATTAATTGACAAAAAAAGTATTCATTAATTTTTTTATAAAAAAAAAAAATCAGTACCAAATGTGACATTTAAAAACAAAACAATTACTAAAATAGCAAACAATCAAACATTTAGCTGACACTTTTATCCAAAGCGACTTACAATTGCTATACATGTCAGAGGTCGCACGCCTCTGGAGCAACTAGGGGTTAAGTGTCTTGCTTAGGGACACAATGGTGGATGGGTCACAGTGGGGGATTGAACCCGGGTCTCTCACACCAAAGGCATGTGTCTTACCCGTTGCACCATCACATTTACATTTAGTGGACGCTTTTTATCCAAAAAAACCCCCACTGAACGAGGGGTTAAATGTCTTGCTCAGAGACACAATGGTGGATGTCTCACCGTGGGAATCGAACCCAGGTCTCTCACACCAAATGCAATCATCTTCTCTGTGCGCCATCACCATCCCTCTCACCTCCCCCAAAATGATAATAATTTGAAAATTTGTGCTATTATTTAGCTTTTAGAGTTTCCACTGGTTGTCCTCAGTTTGTTGCATGAGGAGAAATATTTTGCTGCCGTGATTTCACAGTTGGACATTTCTCCCAGTAAATAGGGGAGTTTCTGTGTGTATAAATTTGAATTTGGAGTATATTTGGGAAATGTTTGCAAAGTATTTTTGTCTTAGTGTTTTATATTTTGGGCATGAGTCTCTACCTGTCCTCTGAGTCTCTACCTGTCCTCTGAGTCTCTACCTGTCATCTGTCTCTACCTGTCCTCTGAGTCTCTACCTGTCCTCTGAGTCTCTCCTTGTCATCTGTCTCTACCTGTCATCTGTGTCTCTACCTGTCCTCTGAGTCTCTACCTGTCCTCTGAGTCTCTACCTGTCCTCTGAGTCTCTCCTTGTCATCTGTCTCTACCTGTCATCTGTGTCTCTACCTGTCCTCTGAGTCTCTTCCTGTCCTCTGAGTCTCTACCTGTCATCTGTCTCTACCTGTCCTCAGAATCTCTACCTGTCCTCTGAGTCTCTCCCCGTCCTCTGAGTCTCTCCTTGTCATCTGTCTCTACCTGTCCTCTGAGTCTCTCCCTGTCCTCTGAGTCTCTACCTGTCCTCTGTCTCTTTTTCTCTTTCTCTTTTTATTTATTTGAAAGGGGACAGTGTACATTAATCAACATTAAAACAATGTAAATGTACCCGATTTAGGTAAAAAGTGCTAATTTACATAGGTAGTCTGCCAGCACTGTGTTCCATTGCTGAGCTGCTCTTACGGGGACGATGCAGTCTTCCCTCACTGCCCCTCTGGTTACCCTGATCTCACTGGATCTGACATTTATAAAGTCACATAGTGGAGGAGGTGCTAAACCATGTCTGATTTTAATTAAACAGATGTTTTTGAATTTAATGAGATTGTCCCAGGTAAGTAACTGATATTTCCTCAGAATACTACAGTGGTGGTAATGGTATGTTTATCCAGTATTTTTAATGCTTGTTTGTATAATGTTTCTAATGGTTTTATTGTTGTAGAGTGAGTATTGGACCAGCTTGTTAAACAATATGTTATGTGGGATAAAATCTTGGAAAAGAAATATGATTTAACAGCTTCAGTTGAAAGGAAATCTCTGATTAATCTGAAGTTTGCTAGACTGAAATTAATCCTATTACTAACTTTTTTGATGTGAATTTTGAAATTGAGGTTTGAGTCTATATGTAATCCTAAATATTTATATTCTGTGATGACCTATAATCTTTCTCCAGATATTAAAATTTCGGGTTTTATATTGTTTTTTGAAAAGAACATGGTAACTGTTTTGGATATGTTCAATTGCAGAAAGGATTGCTCAAGCCAGGTTGAGATCAGTGACATGGCCTCTGTCAGTTTTGAGGCAACTTCCTCTGTGGATTTTCCATAGGCCAAGATAACTGTGTCGTCTGCATACATCAAAGTGTCACAGTTCTTACACACAGATGGTAAATCGTTAATGTATAAACTAAAAAGAATTGGACCTATAATTGAGCCCTGTGGAACACCAGCTAATAATAGTAAGGGAGTAGAATTATATTGGTCGATTCTTACACTTCGTGATCGAGATGAAAGGTATGAATTATGGGACTAATGAATTTGATAAATATATGAAGTTTGTGCAGTAAAACTGAATGGTTGACTGTATCAAATGCTTTACGAAAGTCTAAAAAGGTTGCTCCCACTATCCCTCCTTTGTCCATATTTTCCAGAAAATAACATATTGCTGTCTCTGTAGAATGATTAGCCCTAAATCCAAACTGCATTGAGTGCAAAGGAAAAGAACTGCAATTAAGATGATTGGTGATTTGTTTAGCAAATCTACCTACCTCTCTACCTGTCCTCTGAGTCTCTACCTGTCCTCTGTCTCTACCTGTCCCCTGAGTCTCTCCTCTTGTGGTAGCCAGCTCTGTCTGTGTCGACCCTTTTCTATGGCCAGGCTGTGTTCACTCAGTCTGTATGTTGTAAACATTTTTCTTAGTTTAGGGCATTTTATTGTGCTCAGGTAATTTGCCAGTGTGAATTCTCTTTTTAGGGTCAGATAACATTGTAATTTACTTTGTGTTTGTGTCTTGTTACTGCAGAGAGCCTCAGGACCAGCTGGCTGAGGGGACTCTTCTCTGGTTTCAGCTTCGCTTTGTGATGATATGTCTGGGGGTTAACTGATTTTAAGTGATTGTAAAGTTTAACTGATCTTTTCTGTATTTTTAGTAAGAGGGGGTATTGGCCGAGCTCTGCTCTGCACAGGTTATTTGGTGTTTTTCTCTGCACCTGCAGGATGCTCTTACAGAACTCAGTATGGAAAGATTATTGGCCCCCAAATTTCGCTGCCATAAAGAATTATTGGTTCTAGAACAAATTGGAAAATTTTAAACCATTTGTTATTGTTCATTTGTTGAGGTTTTGGTATGGAGGCTTTCAAATTAGACAATGAAGCCAAATGATGAAAAATTGAATTGATTTTGTCCACAGCAGAATTATTCTGGGGAAATGTTTCAGTTAGAAATAAATGAGTTAAATCATGTTTGTTTTGATTTTCCAGTGCCTTTTGGTACGCCCCCATGCTGTCTGGGGTCCATCTGTATGGGTATGTGCTTTCATGGTTGTGAAGACAAGCAGTACATCTTTCATTTCAAGCCTGCAGGAAGAGTTTGATACTCAAAGCAGCTCATCTGCACTTTCAGCTGACGTGACGACAGGCAGTCATCTCAGGACCACAGAACAGATTAAAGCATATTCCTGCCTTTCTCACGCTTTTAGAAGAGGAAGTGTAGTCAACAGGAACCTACTGCAGCTTTTAAATGACTATATTTACTGTAGACTGTAGATGCAGAGGACAACACATCAGACTTTGTAGTAGCGAACTCTTTCAGGTCGGGTCTCGCAGCTTTCAAAGGTAAAGTTTGGGACATTATTTTTTTCTTATATGTAGAGAGGACAAGAACTGCACACAGTCATGAAGATGGATGTGCATGAATATTTATATGAATATCTAAAACTGAAAGACAGCAGTTTGTGATTTGATATGATTGTGGGTAAACTATAAGTACACTGTGTTTGTGTGAACTTCACCTCACAGCTTTAGTGATGTCACTGAACAATGTTAGGTAGATATTAAAAACCTGCTCCCTTTAATAACCTGATCTCTCAAACAGGTTTCACTCTGAAGAATGGAAGGTCTCTACTTTAACTCACTGCACCAAAGCTATGATTACAGCGACATCACCGCTGAGCTCGATGACTATTACAACAAACTTGATTTCATCATGAATGTGGTGACATACATAATCATCGCTGTCGGCCTTCCTCTGACCCTCATGAACATCTATTCTCTTTATTCTATGGTATGTACATTCTGACTTAGAGTTATTTATTTCCTGTCTGTGTCGTGTGTCTGTCCTACAGTCTGTCTGTCTGTAAAGGATCTGGATCTGGTTTGGGGGCTAGGTGTCAGGGGCCTTACGGGAATAATCTACTCCATAATTAAAATGTACATGAAGCTGATTGGACCCTAAACAGATGCAGTTTCCATGTGTGGCTCCATCCAGCCTTCTCTTAAACTGTTGAGGTTAATGGCACCATTTAGTTACAGCTCAAGACAAACATCAAACAGTCAGAGCAGTTTGAGCAGCAGTATTTGAGAGGAAATTGTGAAATCTGGAGACATTAATTTTGTATTTTGGTTTTTGAAAACTATTTGATGGATCATCAGGTCATAAATATTCATTTGTCCAACAATTTAATAATAATCATAATGATAATACATTTTATTTATATAATGCTTTAAAAAGGTATTCAAATGCCCTTTACATGACAAAACAAAGACAACAAGATCAGCATATAAACCACAATACAACTAGAGATAACTTTTAAAAGCTGAAGCAAAACAGCATAAAAACAGGCCGGAAACAAGAAAGAAAACAGGTTAGGCTAAGTTGATTACAGACTTAAAGCAGTTTTAAACAGGGCCCTGTTTCAGAAAGCAGGAATAGTGAAAAGTACCAGCAGTGCAATTTCTGGAGAAATCGAGGTGTGAATGCTGGCTGTTGAAGGCTGACGCTAAACTGGATTGCTAACCTTAAACTTTGTATCATTTTGAATGATTCAAAGTTTTCAAAAATAAATTTCTGGGTTACAGCCCCTTCATGCAAGCTGTCATTTCAGCCTCTGTCTGAAACGAGCTGTAGATGCTCCTGTCTCTTTAAGCCCCCCCACCCCTCCAAAAGCCCACTGTGTTCTGATTGGCCTGGATCCTGAAGCAGGGTGATTATGCTGCCGAGTGGTACAGACAGACTGAGCGTAGGAGTTGCCAGGCTGAGAACGGTTCGGCTTCGGACAGTAGCTCAGGGGGCGTGGTGTGAGCGAGGGGCGTGGCTTGAGAGGTGCTACAGTCCGCAGCTGGACAATATTGAGGCCGTAGGCAAATTACCATGTATGGAAAACCGGCTCTGTATGACATCATTAAGAGCCAAGAGTAGAGCTTTGGCCATGTTTAACATGAACATCTGACACTGAAACATTATTGTTAAGAAAATATTAGAAGCCTAATAACTCTCCTTTAATTTGTGTGTGTGCACCTGCTGGGACACAGTTATGCTTACATGTGTTCTCCCATGCAGTAAAGTTTAAAGCTCCATGTTTTGAGGGCTCTCTGTATGCATGAGTTAAAAAACTGGTACGCTCTGCTCTGCTCCAGACATTTTGACACAAATTTATAATGGCAGCCAATGGTCACTGTTGTCCTTTGGAAGGACACGGCGACAAATCTACAAGTCCGGGGGATTTAAAAAGCCCAAAATTTACTACATTTCTGGTGTAAAATTATGCATGAAGAGTTAAAATTGTGGTCAAGCCAGTGAGTTAAAGAGAAAAGTTTAAGACAATTTTGCAAGCCTGCCACACTGTAGTGATGATGTCACCCACTCTAACTCACGCAATACGCACCCATTATAAACTCAGAAAAGAGCTCAAAAAAGCATAAAACTTCGACAGCGACCGTGAACAAACCATAAAATATTTCTAAACGCTGAATACACCATTAATAGATTAACTCCTTGTGACCAGTTTACAGTTTAAATCAAGTCTGTAGCTGAAAGTATGCTGAACTGGTGAGCTTTCAAAGCGGAGTAGGTATGAGGAGGATTTCGGCAGTCTCTCCACTCACTTAGAATGGGAAAAATTTCCTGGAAAACTTTGAAAGTATTCAAGGTATCAATGACAAAAGTAATAGCACCCCATTCCTCATTCAGCCGGACAACTTGGAGTTTGAACGGATGTCAAAAGCTGTGGGACTAGTTAGCGGACAAAGAAACGTGACGGAAGAATAATAATAAAGGTTAGCAATAACATAGGATGTGAATACTCGCAGCATTCACACCCAACTATTAAAAGCTGAAGCAAAACAGCATAAAAACAGGACGGAAGCAAGAAAGAATATTGCCGCAAGCGACGATTTGCGGGTTCATACCGTTTTTCGCAATATCGCCATCAAAAAAATTTCACACACATGGTTCAATATTGTTACGAAACACATTCTGCAAGTTTTGTAACGATTGGACAAACATTTTCTGATCTATAGCTTGATTTGTATCATTTCAGTTACGATGCATTTAAAGCGCCACTTAGTGGTCGATTTGAATGAAACTTTCAAGGCATATTTCTGGCACTCATGTGGACATATACTGTGAGTTTTGTGATGATTGGACCAACGCTTGCGGTTTCTTGTCTATTTATGTCCTGAGTCACACCCTTTACATGTTTATTGGTCAATATCTTGAAAACGAAAGGAGCTATCAACAAGCTTTATACAACTTTATATAAGCTAAGGCCAATGATGATCCAGAGAAAATTTGGTGGCAATTGGAGCCACGGTGTAGGAGGAGATGTAAAAAATGTGTTTGCATTATGGCAAGCGGCGATAAAAATCCTGTTTTAATGTGTGATGTATCTGTATGTGTTGGGCAATAGTTCTTCAAATACGCTAGTTGACCTTTCCCTTAAAAAACAACTACAGCTTTTATTTGTAGGAGTGCACTGACTGCAAAGAACAAAACGTTTACTGGGAACAAGCCCACTCAGATTTACAGACATCACGGAGCATTAATATTTTTCTTCCATATTAGACTATATAATAATTTAATTGAAATATATACTATGTAAATACTAGTATTATTAACCATACTACTTCATTAAAAAGGTTTGAAAATATAGATGCCAGTAAAACTACAATACAATACTCTCTCTTGCTGCTATGTTTCTAACATGTCAACAAACAGCATGGCTCCACGAGAGAGAGAGAGAGAGAGAGAGAGAGACAGAGAGAGTGAGAGAGAGAGAGAGAGATCATTTACACTCCTGGCTCCGTACCTTTCATCCAGCGCAGCCAGCCGCCATATTGGCGTAATAATCGCGGATAATAAAGCAGCATGAAAGCGGCTACATGACAACAACCGCAATCCATAGCCTGGTATCAACCGATCCAGCACAACAGTTTGTCCCATACACGGAGCAGCAGCACACAGTCAGGATGATTAACGATGCTTCACTCACCAAAGCAGGCTCACTTCAGCAGAAAGGCCCAGCGGCGGCTTTTCCTCTGGGCAAACTTCTGGAGGACTGAAGTTTTTCAGAGAGACTCGTTGCGGCCCCACAGTGCTGTTTAACATTTTCCACAGAGTTTAATAAACGTTACGATCCGACCGTCACTGAGCTCGTAGCTGTTTCCTCCACCTGTTTGTTGGGCAGCCATGTTTAACCCTTTAAAGTAAGCTCAGTCTCAGCATCGTCCAGATAACTCCCGCTGGTGTCATGTTTTGCAATCCTCTCAGAAAGATGAAGATGAAGACAAGTACAGGATGGTCTCCCTCAAAGCCAGAGGTGCTTATCAGCTCACGTGCGGCGCTGTCAGTAAGACAGTGTCCGTTTAATGTTAGCTTGCTGTCAGCGATGTTGCTAACCTGTTGCTATCTGCAGACTAGCACGGCTCTCTCACACAGTACACAAAACTGTGTAGCAGAGTGACAAACTTATTATAAACCAGCCAGGCTACTGACTGTCTGTATAATTATTAAATTACACCTTTCTGTCTGCTGCAGCTTGTGGCTAAGTTACCTCCAGAGAAAAACACAGGCTGACTCGTAACTCTGCTCCGCTCTGCCTGTTAGGCCCGCCCCTTAACCAATCACAAGTTTAGAAAGGTGACAGGCTCTCTTAAAAAAACAACCATAGTCGGTCACAGCTCAGGGTCAGAGGTTACCCTCTTAAAGTGACGGAGCCTAATATGGAAACACCTACATGCTGCTAAGACATTTAAATTTTTAACACAGAAGTTACATAATATCAGAGCTTTATTTGCCAGGTATGTGTGCACATACGAGGAATTTGACTCTGGATTGTACATTGCTCACCATGCACTTACTTACACAATAATACAATAATAAAATCAAACGCAGGCTACAGTGTAGAGAACACATATTTACACACTATAAACAACAACAATAAAGAAAGACTGAGAAAAAAGTGCAATGAGCAGAGTGCAAAGGATGCAGGAGTAAATTATTATTATTATCATTGTTATGTACATGTTGGAGGTGGATGTGATATACAGGTACACATACACCGTGCGATGGAGCAGAGTGCAAAGGATGCTGGAATGAATAAGTATTATGTGCAGGTGTTATGTACTTGAGGTAGGTGGGTTTGGTAAACAGTATATACAATATGACAATATAACAGTATGAACAGTGTGACCAGCACTGAGATAGAGAATAATGAATAAATAATAATTGGTTACCAGTAAACGGGTGGCTATTAGAGACAGAGGGGGCAGAGTCGGGGGGCTCCTCCTGAAGGCCTCGATCATCTCCACAGTTTTGAGCGTGTTAAGCTCCAGGTTGTTCTGGCCGCACCAGAGAGTCAGCTGATCAACCTCCCGTCTGTAGGCCGATGACCGTTGTGTCGTCAGCGAACTTCAGGAGTTTGACAGATGGGTCTCCTGAGGTGCAGTCGTTGGTGTGGAGGGAGAAGAACAGTGGGGAGAGCACACACCCCTGGGGGGCGCCAGTGCTGATAGTCCGGGTGCTGGATGTGATGTTCTCCAGCCTCACCTGCAGACTCCTGTCAGTCAGGAAGTCTGTGATCCACTGACAGGTGGAGGCTGGCACAGTGAGCTGGGTGAGTTTGGTGCTGAGGATGTCCGGGATGATGGTGTTGAACGGGGCCAGCTGGTCTGCACAGATTTTCAGGCAGGATGGAGACACACCGTCTGTCCCATATGTACACTATAAAGCATTTTATGCATATACTCCTCACCGGGGGGTTCACTGGGGTAGCCACCAGTTTTATTAGGGTGGCCGTGTCCCCCCCCCGGTAGCACCACCCGATGGGACAAACATTTTATGATCAATAGCTTCCTTTTGTGCATTTATAGCGCCTCCTAGTGGTCAATTTGAATGCGACTTGCAGTGTATGTGTGAGGTCCTTATCTAGACATATCCTGCAAGTTTTGTGTTGACTGGACAAACAATTTGCAATTTGTAGCCTGATTTGCGATTTTTCCCCTGCAGTTTGTTTGCATTTATAGCGCCCCCGGGTGTTCGATTTGAATGAAACTTTCAGGGCATGTTTCATTTACTTATGAGGACACATCCTGAGAGATTTGTGATGATTGGAGAATGAATATGGGATTTATAGTGTAATTTGTGTAATGCTAAGCACCTTTCTTGCGCTTGTAGTCCCCCCTAGGGACGTATGTACATCAAACTGTCCAGGTATATCCGGGGCACCTATCTGAACATATCCTGTGAGTTTTGTGATGATCCAGTTATTCCCCCAAGTTTCACGTTTCTAGCTCATTCCAGCTCACGGGAATTTGAGCTGGCGCGGCAGACAACAAATAATAATAATAATAATAACTAAAACACACAAAAACAATAGGGTTCGTACCGCGTAGGTTAGGCTAAGTCGATTACAGATTTAAAGCAGGTTTAAACAGGGCCCTGTTTCAGAAAGCAGGAACTGTCAGTACGTTAAGTCCGGGAAACTCTGGGTTTTTGGTTTCAGAGACTGAGTTCAGATAAACTCTAGGTCAGTAAACCAGACAACTTTAAGATTTTGTCATGGTCCACATTGGCACCCGTACAGCACCACTGGATTAAAATGGGGGCTCTGCTCGTTATTTACCCACGTAGTATCAGAGCTCAATAGATGATTTTTTTTCATCCCCACGCAGGCGCTTCCATCAGGTTCAACATACTTGAGTTGATTGAACTAATTCTGATCATCTATTCAGGAAACTAAAACTCATACTTTCCCAGCTCACTCCCACCTTCTGTTAACATGGCTCCTCTTCTTATTTGTGCGATCCTCAATATAATACGTTTACAATGAGGAGAGATTCTCACCTTGCAAACACAAACATGAGCCTCAAACTGCGACTCCAGTCTGGATAAATCCAGCTCATGTGTTTGAGCCAGAACATTTCATATCTGTGGCTGAAAAACTGCTGCAGAAGCTGCAGGAAATCTGGCCCTTAGTCTTGTTCCTGCAGTGATTGGCCAGTGGGTCATATCTGAGATTTCTGTTGGATGAAAAAGTCAGAAATGGCTCTGACTGCAGCTGCTGGGCAGAGCAAGATGACAGATTTGGGAGGAGGTGGACTTCACAACATGTTTCCAACTGCTTGTTGACTTTTACCAATGTTTTCCTGCAGGTGAGAAGTGATCATGTTGCTCCCATCTACGTCATCAACCTTCTCATTACCGACCTGCTTCAACTCAGCTTCATGATTGCTGATGTGGCACCAACTGTGGATAGGAGGATATCTGACATCTTCATGTATATTTACCTCTCTGCTCTGATTGCCAGTGTTGGCTTCATGGTCTGCGTCGCCCTGGAAAGGTATCTGTCTGTCTATCCAGTATGTGTGGAGCTCCTTCTGTGTCTGAACATTATATTAGTTTATAACTCTGAAGCTCCTCAAAGACTTTGTGTCCATCTTGTATTACAGGTATTTGGTCATCGCCCACCCACTGTGGTACCGCTTCAGACTATCCATCAAGACCTCTGTGGTGGTCTGTGTCCTGGTCTGGGTCCTTTCTCCTGTCTGTGCCGTCCGTTTCTATTTCTTTGTTGGAAATCTGGGGACATACATAATCTTCGCCATCCTCTTCCTCCTTCCCTTCCCGCTGTTAACATTCTTCCTGGTTGGGACCCTCAAAGCCCTGTCTGCTACCATCTCAATCTCCCCTGATGAAAAACGACAAATTGTGGGAATTTCGGTTCTGGTGCTGCTTATTTACACGCTGCTGTACCTGCCCACCATCATTTTTTACCTGGGAGAACAGGATGATGTGACATTCTTTAGCCTGTCTTTCATTTTTCTTAGGTTGAGTCCTCTTGCAGACTCAGTCCTGTATGTGTTCATGAGGAAAGGGTTCATAGACAAGCTTTTGGCCTCTGTGTGTTGCTGTAGAATGGACAGCAATGATATCAGCAGTTCATCAGTATGAATGATGACAACATTTCCACAGTCAGCTTCATGTAGGCAGAGAAAGGGAGAGGGAGAGAGAGAAAGAGGAGGAAACAGGAGGAGAAATGGAGGCCAATAGAAAGGATAGAGACGAGACAGATCCTGTCATCTACTGAGACCATTTCCAATAAGACACCTAACTGTAGAGAACAGGAAGCACTGTTTGGACTCTGCTGTGGGAGAAGTGGCTGCTGGGAAATGTTTTGGTCAACTTGCTCTGGTTCACTGTGATGGCTTCAACACATGGAAATAAAATGTGTTTTATTAGTTTGGAGCTGGAAGTTGATGTCTGTCATTATTCTGCTTTAATCCCAGAAGCAAAGCAGATATTATTTTAGATCAATTGAATCCTTGAGAAGAATTATTCTTGATGCTTTTCTTAAAGTTACTTATTTAAATTAATTGTTATTATTCCAGCTCTCGTGGCTGTGCTGTGTTGCTTATTTAGTGTGCGTGACTGTTTTTTGTTTTCATTTCTCTCTTAGTTGTCTTTGTATGTCAGCTGTTTTTTGCTGCTGTTCGGCTGGTTGTCTTTTATTATTACTATTTTTTGTTTGTTTGTTTTGTTGTTGTTTTTCTCCTCCCCAAGCCCCCCTCTCTGTTCTGTTGCAGGTTTTGTTGCTTTCTGCAATTGGTGTTTCCCACAACTTTTCCCTGTTGTCCCCACCTTCCATCCTCCTTCTCTTACAGGTCTTGTCCTTTCTCTGTGCTGCCTGTTTGTGCCCCGCCATCCCCGTGTCTACCCCCCTGTCCGGCCCGGTGACAAATCAATACATAATTAAATAAATAATAAAACAGACAAAGGAGTATATTAATACTCTCTTGTTAAAGTAAAATCTGTCTGGCACAATATGGTATCCAGGTCATTATACTCTATACCAGGCTGAGTATAGAGTATTTCAGAATCTGCTGATCTACTGGGATTTTCACACTCAACCATCTCTAGGGTTTACAGAGAAAGGTCCGAAAAAGAGAAAATATCCAGTGAGCAGCAGTTGTGTGGACGAAAATGCAACAACACCTTGTTGAAAGTATGTCACGAAGAAGTAAGACCGTTCTGAAGGCAACAGCGGATCCAGGCCGGAAGGGGTAAACCAGGGCGAAAGTAACACGGCGATTTTCTCAGAGCCCTGACTGCATTTGGAGTCCAAGCTGTGACAGCACCTTCAGCGCGCAACCCTTGATGGAGCGGCCAAATATCACATGATTTCGTCATTGTTTCCCGCGGCCGTCTTCGTAAAAAACTGCTTTCGAGCACGGCAAGTAAATTTCTGAAACAGTACTGTTTGTATTGTTTCAAATTACAAGTTGTGTCTCTTGTTTATATGAGAAGCCGCCTAGGCCAAAATTTAATACTTTGCATGCACGTTCATACATACTCCCTTGCACATACACACATACTTACCCTCACATATACACATACTTAAACTCACACATAGATACATACTAAGCTTGCGCATACAAAAATACTCACCTTGCGGATACATACATACTTACAAATGACAGTATGTATGTATGTGCGAACGTGTATGTATGTATGATCAAGCATTATTAGGCGGCTTCTCATATATTGCTGTTATTCTCAAGAATAACGTCATTTTAGCTACAACTGCATTGGAACAGGTCAGGATTAAATCTTAAAATATTGTATCAAGTGGTGTGTATTAATACTTCTCATCATCAACTCTGAGTACAGATGTGGTGTGTAGTCCACACATACAGGGTAACCTCGAGTTAACCACGAACAAAACCTGCTTGGAGCAGTTTAAAGATGCAGCGTAAACTGCCATGGCAACAGACCTCGGCTAACATCTATCTGCCTTTCATAGTACGGGTTACTCGGGAAATTGCACCCGATGTCACAAAGTTACTCCTGAAGTTACCTTGATAAGCCACCCAGCAAGCAATAGACATTTAGTCTGACTATGAGTACTTCTATCCACAATAACCTTACATTTGGTTACATGACATTTTTGCCAAAATAACTTAGATGTTAATGCAGGTGATTTTTGTATTTCGTATTTTCATGTTTCTCTCATACAGTCTGTCTGTCTGTCTGTAAAGGATCTTGATCTGGCTTTGGGGCTAAAGGAAAAAGTGGCCTTGATGTGATGATACTATCATTCAAATCCCTTTGAACAGTGTACGCTAGTTTTCCATTATTGAACACAGCCCTGATAAGTGCAGTTGAAATCTACCTGTTCAATTTGTGGCAGTTTAACACTGCTTTGCTTATCAGTTGAATATTGAAGCCAGATTTCTTCCTTTTATCAATGTCAATAAGTCTTTGGGCTGAGAGTGCGGTCACTACCATAAATACTTTTTTCATAAGTTCAATAATATTACTGCAGTAACTTGGAGAGAATATTATAAATCAAATAAACAATACATAGCCTTCCTAGACTTTTACTGATCCTGGGATTAAAACTACAGCATGAAATCAGTGAGGTGTTTTAGTGTTTGGGCTGCTGTATTTTCTGTAAACCACCAGATGTCACTGTGTCGGCTGAGTTCAGGCTTCAAATCTTTCAACACGAACCAGAGGAAAGCCCAAAGCTGCATAAAGCTCTGTTCAGCCCAAACTGGTTCTGATTGTCCAGGGTCACTGAGTCTTTTGCTGTTTACAATAAATGAAGACATTTAGAAATGTTATTCTACCTTTATTTATCTGCCACATTAGATTCATTCGGCAGAGAACAGTGCTCACTTTTTTACTCTGCTAGTATTCACACAGTTACACACATTCACACCTGGAAGCTCCACATTATTGCAGAATGTTTGGATGCAGAGGACAAAACATCTCACTGTGGCAGAGGGAACTCGTTCAGGGGACGGTATCATGAAGTTCAATTTCTATTTGGGTCACCTTCACTGAGCCCAACTTTGGTGATCCTGGATGACTATTAGGCCGTACAAGTAGCATTTGTTGATTCAGTCTGTTGTTCTGATGTACTTTACATACACTGTGTTCATGCCTGCCTTCATTTCTTTAGAAGCAGGTTTTCATGCAAAGCACAAAGCATCAACTATTTATAGAACTCATGCAGGTCATTGTTGTCATGCAGCTTTCAAAGGGACATTTTCAGACCTTTTTTTATTCTAGATATGTAAAGATTTTTTAAAGAAAACAGAATTGCAAAAAATGTTTGAGAAACTTGTCCTAGCCCAAGGTGGAAATGGAGCCAGCGTTAAACATCTCCCCTTTCTTCAAGTAAGGAAAACTTCACTTGTATTAACAAATTGTGAACTAAACCAAAGACATGGTTACACAATCACTTGAACATAACTGGGCTCTGAAAGCAATTAAAGAAGCTTCTTGACCCCGAGCTTCAGTTTGACTTGTCGACAGCGGTCCAGAAAGGCTACCAGCTTGGCATCATGGTCTTTGCCTGCCTCTTCCTCGCTGTCTCCACAGCCTACGATGAGGATATCATCAGCTATAGGCTCCACCCCCTCAAGCCCTTCCAGCAGCTCGTGTTGTTTTCACTGGTAGACCTCCGGGGCAACTGACACACCAAACGGGAGTTTCACCTCTTCCTGCCTCAGGCGTCCAGAAGGTGGTCATGAGGCTGCCTCATCCAGCTTGTCCTGCAGAAAAGCATCTCTTGCGTCCACCAGTGTGAAGATTTTGGCTTTTGGCAGTTTATAAAGCACATCCTCCAGTGAGGGCATGATATCATGCATCCTGAGCGCTGGGTTGAGATGATGAGGCTGTAAGCATATGTGCAGCTTATCTTTTTTTTTGACTGTGACCGTCTTGCTGATCTGTGGACTCACTGTGATGTGGCCCTCTGCTTCACATCTGTGGAGCTGAGCCTTCACAGCTTCCTTCATGGCCACCGGGATGTTGTGTGGTGCACACTGCACCGGCTGAACAGCTGGGTCCAACTCAAAGTGCACCTCCACAGGGTTGGTGAACACATCATGAGATGCTCTGATGACCGTACTTCTGGTGAGAGGCACGGCAAGGCTGTCATCCACCATGTTCAGCCCTTCTACTCTGAGCTCATCTGGGATGGAGAAGTGTAGGAGCTCCATCTCCTCTGATGTGCACAACCTCAAAATCTAGGTCATATTTGCAGCCCTGTACAACACACTCTGAGGTAAAGACCCCTAAAGATTCCAGTCCTTGGTCTGAGTAAAGTTTCAGAGTGGTGCTACAAGGTTTTAATTTCCCTCTAGGACCTAGTCTCCTATTGTCTCTGAGACTCAGGACATTGCACGTAGCTCCTCTGTAGTTTTCCATTTAGCCCAAGATTGACAAACCATTTTTTGCCTTTTGTTCTCACTGCACCGATGCTCTCTGTTGCATACACATCATTTGTTTCCAAGACCGTGTATCTTTGTCTGTTCTTCAACCCCTCAAATGCATGGAGTTTCCCATCTTATTCTTACTTTTCTCACACAGTCCTGCCAAATGATTGGCTGTGCCACAGGCATTGCAGGCCTTAACATATGCTAAAAGGCACAAAGCATTTGTCAGGGGCCCGAAGCTCTGAACAGCCTGCCTGAGGAAATCAGGGCAGCTGAGTAAGTGAACTCTTTTAAGTCCCTTCTTAAAACATACTTTAATAGGATTTAATTTTATTCTATTTATGTTTATATATATTATATTTACTTGTAACGTGTATTTTTTGTCTCTTAAGTGTTTTCTTGCTTTTGCCGTGTATTTGTTTTTATGTGTTTTATATCCTTTGCACTTGTTAAAGCACTTTGTAACTTGTTTTTGGAAAGTGCTCTATAAATAAAGATTATTATTAGTAGTAGTAATATATGCTGGGCAGCGTTCTTTTCCCCAGCCCTATGATGTGCCACTGTATTTGCATGTGGAGAAACCCTCACCCTGTGCTCTGTTGCGGTCTCTTCTTTCTGTAATGCAGGCTGATCTTTTGTAAATTTGTTTCCCTATGACATTTACAGTGTCCAAGTGAGATCTCTCATGCTCCATGGATCTCAGCTTTGCATCAACAGTAGGCTACTGGCTAGCATTAAGTCCTTTTCCCTTAGCATCCGCCAAGAACTATTTTGTCCCTGATTAACTCATCTCTCCAGGCTCCATATTCACATGTTGCCGCTTTTTCCCTGAGTTGAGCCTCAACAGTCTGTTGTTGTTGACAGCAGTCAATTGACTCATGAAAAGTCATCTCCAGGTCCACACGTCATGTTTTCAGAAAGATTTACATCATTGCAGACTGTGTGGAGACAGAGGACAAAACAGACTCTGTGAATGTAAATGAACATGCAAACTGTAACAAGCTGTCTCCTCTAAACCATCTTGTGCGGAGAGATGTGAGCTTAGTCATATCTGAGTTGAATTAGTTGTGTGAATGTATGTTTGCAGAATTGTAAATCATTTTTCAACAGCTGGCTTGCTGATGTGACTGCCGTTCAGCCTCACATCAGATCTAACGAACATGTCCACACATCATCAGGAAGTGTTGTTGTTATCTTAAAGAGGTGGTATTCTGCTTTTAGGCTTTTTCCCTCTCCTTTATTGAGTTATATTTCTTTTTTGTGCATGTAAAGGTTTGCAAAGTGAAAAAGCCCAAAGTCCAGCCCAAAGGGAGTTCCCATCTCCCACAGAAAACTCTGCTCTGAACTGCCTGAAAACAGCTCGTTTGTAGTCCAGCCTTTACTTCCCTTTCTTGTGATGTCACAATGAAAATACGTCATACGTCATAATGCTCGCTGAGCGACTAGTCTGACACGCCCTCAAAAACAGCGGTGGAAAAACACTCACACAGCTCTCCTCTCCCTTCCAAACACTAGCTACCCTCCAGGCAGTCAGTGGACATAAAGTTGTTCCTGTGATGTAGAGACAGAGCTCAGTTAAAACTTTATGGATACAGATTAATAACTCACCGCTCTGAAACTCTCGTTCCAGTCCATGTTGCCAAGCTGGTCGGCAACACGTACGGCTGAACCCGAGCTGTTTACCAGCCTTTCACTGACCTGCCTTTCACTGCTTCTGATTGGCTAGTAGTCCTTAACTAGGAACTGAGCATGTGCAACTCCCAACAAAGATCATGTAGAGACAAGATGCATCACTCCATAGCTAAAACAAAGCCTTCAACACAGGCTGAAAAAAGGAGCTGCAGCAATGTGCAGTATGAGAAAAAAATATGGTGTTTTTTGAAAATTAAACCATGTAAACCTGTTCTGGAACAACCCCTAAATAGGATTTTGAACCTGAAAATGAGCACAATACCACCTCTTTAATGTTTATTGTTTTGATAAATAATACCAGCAGGGGCCTGTAACTTCGGGGTTAACCCTGGGTTTCCAGTACCACGAAGGTGGTTCACTTTGGCAATTTACGCTGCATCTCTAAACTGCTCCGAAGAGCAGCTTAAGGAAGAAAAACTCTTGTTATAAAAACTCCCGTGTTTGTGTGGACTAGGCCATAGAGACATTAGAGAATAAAACAATCATGGAAGATTGAATAAAGAACGTGAGGTAAATGGTATGTATTTGAATATTGGACAAATGCTAAAGTGCCAACTGCTCATCAGAACGGAGATAAACATTCATTCGTTCACATTCACACAGTGATGGCACAGCCACCAGGAGCAGTTTGGGGTGTCTTGTCCACGGACAACATACAGACTGGGGGAAACTTCCGGTTAGTGGACAACTGCTCTGCCCCCTGAGCCACAGCTGCTGGTAAAGAAAGCAAGGTGGTGCTTAGAAATTTCAGGAATGGAGTCTAGTAAAAGCTCACAAAGTTCTTACTTCATACCTTTTTACTTCATTCTGTATTTGTTATTAATTTGCTGTTTGTGCTGATTAAACATTAATGCTAACATTATCTGATGTTTTATTCCAGTAAATGATGACAGCTAAGAAATTAAAGTTCATGAAACATAATCAGCATCATTAAGTAGACAGATTTTAAAGGTATGATTAGATTTTTTTTAAATCCTGATTTCCTTAGAAAGAGAAATAAGCTGCTGGAAAGCAGAAGAAAACATCAACAGGTGTGACATCAGTGTGGCCATTTAATGTCAGCAGGTCACATGCACATTTCTTAGTCAAATACATTTTGAGGAGTGTGACGGGTTTTTCTCCCGCTAACATTTTGTGTTATATTTCCATGATGCATCATTTCCATATTCACGTCACTCCTTTTCCTTAGAAGAGCAGCTGTAGATCATCAACAGCCTGCCGCTTGTTATCACTTCCCATATTTGAGGTTTGGATGCAGAGGACAAACATCGGCCACTGGTGTAGGAACTCATTCAGGTGGGTCTCTCAGCTTTTAAAGGTAAATTTGATCATATTACTTTTTCTTCTATGTAGAGCGTATTAAACAGATAAATGAACATGCAAACTGTAACAAGCAGACAGCTTTGGACTGTAGGTGGACAGGATACTGAGGTTAAACCAGTTAGGTTTTATTTCCTGTGGGGTATTTTCACTCTCTTTCCTTAAAACACTTTAAGGTGAAAACATACAATAAAGAAAGTGTTTTAAATTAAAATCAGATAAAGAAAGAATGATGAAAATGAGATGTTACCTGCAGCTCTTGGTGTGCAGCTCTGTGAGCAGTCAGCCACTGTGAGCCAGTCCCAAACACTCAACAATCGTTACATCTTTTCATGGTCACATAATTCTTAAATCAGCTAATATATCCTATGTTTGTTTTAACAATTCATACATTTTTCTGAAATCTTATAGGGCCATTTGTTCTTCACTCTTTACTTTGATGTCAGGAATATTATTTTTTTTTACATTGGCACTGACATTTTTATATCTATTTCCAGTTATTGAGTTTTTATTGTAGTTGAGTTGTTGTAAACACTACTGTTGCTGTCAATATGTAAATATATTCAATACTGTTCTGAATTTAATGATAATTTTTTTAATTGCTGATAAAGAGGAAGTCGGAGGAATAGGCTTAGAATTTTACCAATGTTGTTATGCTTATTTTCAGGCACAAGGCTTTTATTAATAATAAAATAATAATTAATAATCCTAGTTCAAGCGCAAAGATTTGAGTCAAATTACATAGAAAAGATCAGACCTCTTGACGCCCGTGAAACTTTTCTCCCCCAAACAGAGCATGGAAGTGAACAGAGCACCTTTGTTTATCTGTGTATAGAAGTAACGTTAGCTGTCGGTGTGTTGGCGTGTTAGCTGGCAGCTGATGTTACTTCTACAGGCAGGCGACACACAGTAATATACACAACAACTGTGCTGCTCTCTTTGCAACAATCCACAACAAGCACATTGCGGAATCGAAGGTGTCCTGTAGGCACTAACGGTGTCTGAACGGGAGGGCTCGTCACGGATGAGGTCATAAAGTGAAAGGTCATTTTATTTACTGTTAATTTATTATTAATTTGTTTTACTGATAGTTTACAACTTTTAAATAAATAAAGAGATAAATGAACATGCAAACTGTAACAAGCAGACAGCTTTGGACTGTAAGTGGACAGGATACTGAGGTTAAACCAGTTAGGTTTTATTTCCTGTGGGGTATTTTCACTCTCTTTCCTTAAAACACTTTA